TCCCTTTGCTTAAAATGCCGAATGAAAGCCGAACGAGGAGGAAGAGGATTAGGGCGGAATCTAGGGCATGGGGTGTAAAAAGCCGGTCAAGAAAAGTTGGGCCCGCTTCTACTCTCACCACGCCGTGAAGTTGCCGCCCCAAATAGTATTAAATCGTGGCACCCTGCCGCAAAGTCGCCCTGCCGCAGCCCCAAATGGGGCCTTATTCCAAGTGAGTTGTATGTTTTTGCTTTAATCGGTTGTGGAGAAAATATTGGTTTTCTTTCCTTTTTAAGTAAACCAGATAGATTTTTTTGTGCTGGAACTCGGAGCTTGGAAGGCGTTGGGTGATTCATTAAGTTTGTACTATCTTTTGCGTGGGGGCTATTGCCATCCTTAAGGGAGTAGTATCCAAATTTATTTGAAAATTATTTTTCAAGGGCGAGCATGCCTCAAGAGTTTACTGAGTTTGTTTGAGAACTCTTTTTTAAGGGAGAACATCTTTCAAGTTGGCCCATCTTTTTTAGCAGACTTATTTGTGTGCTTTCTTATTCTAGAAAAAATTACAATGCAACAAATATAGAAGAATAGTGCTTTCTTATTCTAGAAAAAATTACAATGCAACAAATATAGAAGAATATTAATGTCGTTAATGGATGAGTAGTTAGGGGGTTGAGTGCTACAAAATGAGCTGTATATGCACATGAACCACCGTTACCATACAATTATTATAAAATATTGGACTTCGTTTCCATTGCAAAGTATGTCCCTTAAAGTTAGAGTTGACTGCTACTATTATTCTTGTACTTTCTGCATTTATCGATTCATGATAATTTTATGAATTATTAAGAGACATTAACATAGTTTAAAACATTATTGAAGAGTTATGTAAGATGTAATGCTACTTATTGACCCCCTTGAATATTGCAACTTCTTGCTGCATAATTTTGGTGATTTCATTTTTGTTAGAATGATTAGCATGTTGGTAAGTCTTCTATCTACAGTATGATCTTAAAAGATCAATAAAAGAAAAATTTACATATCTCACACCTAAACTTTCATATTTACTTACATAGCACTTTGGTATTTTAAATATTTACATGAATAAATTTATATTTACTTTTAAAAAGTGGTAATAGTGTTATTTTTGATGTGAAATTAATGTTTTAAGTGATGATGATTTTGTGGTTTGGCAGAAAATAATTTTTCTAGGCCCTGTCGAGGATGTTTCCTCTGTTATAAGGCCTCACTGGGAAGAAGCGGCAGATGGTCGCGTACTTGTAGTTCAGGTACAACCTCATATCCTCGAGATAATTCCGACAGGAACATCAAAAGCTGATGGAGTAAAAGTGCTGCTTGATCACCTCGGTATTTCTCCAAAAGAGGTACCAAATCTCCAATTCTCATATAAAAAAAAAATGTACCGCAACGTTTTTATAGATTAAAATGAATTGTGATGGTGCTCGTAATGATTTCTTATTTGCTGAAGCAGATCATGGCAATTGGTACTGGAGAAAGTGATGTTGAGATGCTGGAGTTAGCATCCCTAGGCGTCGCGCTCGAAAATGGATCGGAGAAGACTAAAGCCGTTGCGGATGTGATTGGATCCACAAATGATGATGATGGGGTGGCCATGGCTATTTACCAATATGCTTTCTGATCTTATTTTTTATCAACACTCTCTAATCAGTTCTTTTGTAATTTTGTTTTTAGTGTTGTTTTCATGTCTCCTTATTGTATAAGTGTAAGAAATTTTTATTTCTTTTTGATGCACCGGTCCTTCTCCTGGATGACTTTTTTTTTTATGAAAAAAAAAACAAAAAGCTTTTTAATGTGATTCTCATGGAGATTATAATGGGCTTCTTGGTGTAGTGACAGCTATGTGCAATGAGATGTCATTTTCAATATGTTGTCAATCAAGTTAATCCTCTTAAGAAAGAAAATAAGAATTCAAGCTTTTGATAAATGTGAGTTTTAGGGATTGAAGTTTGTATAAGTTCATCTAGATGCGATTCGAACAATGAACGGTTATGTAATGGAGGCCATTGTTAGGAGATTGAAGCGTAACATGTGAAGTCAAATGCTGTTACAATGCTCTTATTATTGTCTGAGGGGATGGTAAAACTTGAGGCTGCCACCAAATACTTCTTAAGTTTTTGGAAACCCTTCTCACAAGTATTGGACCATTAAAACTAAATGGCTTTTTGACTCAACTTTGATTGGGGTGCAACAATGGGAGAGAAACTTTCAACAAATCTCTAGTAATATCCAATTAATTTAATGAAAATATGAATTTCGGTGACAGTGCACGGTCTCGACCAATTCAATATTGCCTTAATCTTTGTAGAATACATAGAGATTCTAGTTCTACTAATAATATTTCCGAAAAACACAACTTATTCAAGTTAGAATTTCACATAAAGTTTGTTCTCTCGAAGAGTGTTCGGTGCCGCTTTGAGATTTTTGGCATGCTCCTCTTCATCCATGGAGTAAACTAGCATATCATTAATGAAGAACAAAGAATTGCTAGAGTAAGGCATGAAAATTAAATTTGTCAGGTTCATAAAGAATTTAGCAGTATTAGTCGGATCAAATGACATAACTAAAAATTCATAGTGCTCAAAATAAGATTGAAAAGTAGACTTTAAAATGTCATTATTCTTGAAAAACACAGAAAAATCTTCTAGTTGATCTAACAAATCATCCATGCGAGGTATTGGGTACTTTCTCCTAAAATATTCTACCAATAATTTACTATTCATATATTTATTGAATGCATAAGATGTAAGTAGAATAAATTTATAATATTTTGGTCATTTTTTATTTTATTACAATTGATTAAAATGGGCTCTTGTTCAACTTAAATTCAAAGTTATTAATACCAAATAATAAAATAGTATTCACGATCAATTTCAAATACACGCTAATGTAAAAAATAGAAATTTTTAAAATTCTAATATGATTAAAGCTTGATAAAGTTCTTCAAACCCTCTTAATTACCACATTTTATGCCAATCCACATTCTGTGAATCTTGTGGCGCCCAAAGCTTAGTTCTTGCTCTGCCCATGTTCTTTCAATCTTAGCCGTCTGCTTCTTTTCGGGATGCTTGGCCTTATTTAGGATTAATGTATCATTAAATAAAAGAATTAATACATTGGGTTAATTTTTATAAATTATTTCATATGATAAATATTAAATTATTTTACGTTTGAGTAAACTCTTTAGTTATATATTTCAGAGTTAATTTTTTTTTGTTTTTTTGTATTTATGTGGACTAAATCAACTTTATTAAATCCTAAATTTAAAATTTTAAAAACTTTTAAATGATAAAAAAGCTTTAACACCAATGTCTAAAACCCAATTTTCTTTCCCAAATACCCGAAGTCTCATCCCGAGCCTTGATCACAAGGAAACAAGACAATCCTGACGGAAGTTCGTCAAAAAAGCCATTGATGGGACCAGATGCTAGTGAAGAAGAAATGTTTGTGAGGCTCCCACATTTAAAATAAAAGTATATAATAGCATGATTTTCTGACTTTTAGATTTAACTAAAAGTAGGGACGTCTAAAAGAGGTTGTTAGGCTGCAAGTAGAATTTAGTTTAAATAGGATTTAATGAATCAAGCAATTTCATATTTATCAAATCCTAGGATGGGGTTAAACCTTGAAAGTTGCTTGGTTTATTAATGAGTAAATCCTAGAAAACCTTAAGAAATTATTTGACAGTTTTCAAAAATTATGCAGAATTTATTAGTTGATACATCCAAATAAAAAAATTAAATAAAAAGAATACAAATGAGTATCAAAAGCCTTTTAAGTACATGAAAAAAGACATTTACATTAATTAATAGTTAATTATATAAATTAATTATTAATAAATTTAGTGTAAATGTATTACTTATAAAATAATAATTTAATACTAATAAATTCCTAATTAATTAATTATTATTATATAAATTAAGATTTAAGAGTTGCTAAAATTTCATTAAATAATTTTAAATATAACTTATATATTATTTAAATATTAAATAAGTACAACTAAATTTACATGATTATAATTAAATTGATGATTTATAAGGTAATTATTAATTATTAATTATTAATCAATTAAATTGCTATAATTAACTTTAACAAAAATAAATTAAAGGAGAAACCTATCTCCCTCTTGCTCAAGGAGATATTATTACATACAGATCACAACCATCCTTTATTTTTTTTTTAATTAATAAAAATAGGACCTACTATCATATAGGTTTTTGTTGGGATGAGGATGTGTTGATGGATGACTGTGATCGGAGCACACAGCTCTGCGTGCATCGTATGTAATAATTTGTCCTACATCCTCGCTTGCTCCCGCTTTGGCCCAAACCTTCCATTTCTGCCCCAAACCCTCATTTTTGTCTCTCTCCCTCCATGTTTCGCCCAAAAACAATGCATTTACAAAACAGTCGCCATTAGAGCTTGCTGGGAAGGCACGTTTTACAATTACCGAAGGAAGGACTACATAAACCCTAGTAGCTGACCCAGAGCTGCTGAAATCACCGCTTTAAAGATGTCTGACGCTCGCTTGCGACATGATGAGGTTCTATTTTCATTAATTATTCGATCCTAATCATTGCTTTTTAAAAATTTAACATACTGATGTTCGTTGAAGTTCAATGGATAGCTGTGTTTCACAATCTACTTGACTGCCTGATATTCCAAGTGTAGTATCAGGGATTTTCCTCATTGAAAAAATTTGCTCGATATTTTTTTCAATGCTTGTTTTCTTCTATATTAGTTATATTGTTAGTGAATTCTCTACGAAAGCTTAACATCAAAATTTTTTTGTGCAGGCTGCATTTGAAACTGTGGAGTAGATTAGTTTCAGCTTTTACTCCGCAGAAGAGATTAGGAGGATAAGCTTCAAGGCAATTACCAAGTCAGAACTCCTTGATACCAAGGAATCACAAGTTCCGGATGGTTTGTATGACCCGACATCGGGTCCAGTCGAGGAGCTCGATACCTTAGTTCTTCTTAAAATTAGCATCTCCATAGGCATCATTGCTTTCGTTTTTTCTAGTTCTTTTGAACTTTCAACTTTTATTGGAAATAAATTCTCATTGTTCTCTAACCATATCCAATGTTTTTTCTTTGATATTTTTGCAATTCAATTACAAAAACACACACACACACCACATATACAATGTATTTCAGCTCAATACCTAATAATTGAAATCCTAAGCTCCCAACTAATAGAGTAATGTGACCTGCATCTCTAACGTTTTGTGTATGCATTGATTTGAACTTGTTTACTTTTGATTAATTTAAACTAAGTATTTAGAATGCCTAATGCTGGTAGTTGTTTTCAATTCTTTTCCTATACTGGTAAAATTGCGTGGAAGAAGTCATTTTCTTTGAAGAAAACCCTCACATTTTACCTAATTTTACATTCACGATACATAATCTTCCCATATTTTTTCTTTTCTTTCCCATGAAAGCTTTTTGCATTAGGAACTAACTGAATTTACTAAAAGTAGTGTAACCCATATTTCTTTTATTGAAATAATTGGAGAGTGCAAGGTTAGGAATTTTGTTGTGTTATTTTATGTGTTTCATGTAATTCCATCTTTTCATCATCATGGCCTGGGTGATGAGTACCTCTCAAAGATTTCAATGCCTACTTTGGCCAATTTTTATTCATTTCTTGAAGATTTATAGGTTGTTCCCTATATTATAGTTGATGAGATTTATATTATTTAGGCTTTTAATGCTTAATGCACATTTTATTATTAATGATTATGTATACATTTTAAAGAGTTTTGAATGATCAATTAAGCTATATAATTTATCTGATCTATTATTACCTTCATTTTTTGTGTTATTTGTATTAATCTATGCACCTTATAGTGATGAATGAAGGTAAAATGTCAGGATGGACTTTGTTATCAGATGGGAGAAGTGTTGAAAGGCCTATTTTTGGAAAAGAAAATTTTAAATATTAGGCTCAATGGTAATTTCATATTTTATTGGGATAAATGACCAATAACCTAGCATTACTTAGTCGGGTTATCATGGTATTCAAGTGTTTTTTTATCCTAAAACAAATTCAAGAAAGTTGAATTCTTAAGACTCATGATCAAGAAACTTACAATTTATAAAAGAAGGTTTATCTAATCCTTCTTAGGGCTCTTTATACACATCTTTAGGCCATAATTTTGGAATTAAACTTGTATCGTGACTCCAACAGTTAAATGACTAACTGACAAAAATGCATGACTAGAATACCAAAGAGTCAAAAAATTTATATTATTATATTGTACTTATTATTTTGCTTGACTAAGATAAATTCAATTCCAAGTGGGTAGTGTGATAGTATAATCGTTAACTACAATAGCTAAGTTGTTTGGATTTTGACAGTTAGTCTTTAACCAGGCTAATATTTTCTTTAGATTTTTTAGCAATATTAGCCTTTTCATTTTTAATTAATTCAATTCAATGAACAAACATAAGTTGATGTGAAATGTACATTTATGTGTGAAATGTTCTTGTGCAAGCATTGTGTGCACACAAATTTATGTGTGCGTGAGTGGATGATTGTCTACCTGTGCATTTGAGTGTTTGCATTTTTTTCTTGTGCATTTTTTTAGCTCTATTCAAGCCAAATCGATTGTGTATGTATTTCGATAGAATCAAGCCAAATCATGGAAATAACATCTTAAACCCAGATTAATTTATGACATATTATTTAATTATATTTGTTGTTTGATTAATGTTATTGGTTTAGGTCCTATGAATCTCAACAT